TAGATTGATAGATAGATGATAGATTGATAGATAGATGATAGATAGATAGATAGATGATAGATTGATAGATAGATGATAGATAGATTGATAGATTGATGATAGATTGATAGCTAGATGATAGATAGATAGATAGATAGATAGATAGATAGATGATAGATTGATAGATAGATGATAGATAGATTGATAGATTGATGATAGATTGATAGCTAGATGATAGATAGATGATAGATAGATTGATAGATAGATAGATAGATTGATAGATAGATTGATAGATGATAGATAGATAGATAGATAGATAGATAGATAGATAGATAGATAGATATAATATATATGATATATTATGATATAATATATCAAAATATTTCATTTTTCTATCTAGGAAGAGGGGGGCTTCCCACAGAAGTGTAAATTTAGGGCCCCCAAGGAAACCTCCTCAGCCTGCAACAAGCAAGCCAGCCAGCCTTGCAAACGGATACCCCACACACCCGCGTTGTAATCCACTGGATTCCCTCAGATCCCCACTGCAACGTGTGAAAGCGGAGTTTGCGAGGCGAGCTGCGGCCAAGCATTCCCCCGCCGCCGTACAAATAAAAAGCCTACCGTTCACGTTGCGGGGCTCGTACCCTTCCCTCATCCGTCCCCACCTCCTCCCAACCCGAGTTTCCCAATTCACACGTTACACGCCCACCCAGCCACCCCGCGCGCTGAGCCCAAACCGAAACTGGGGGGAAGCCTGAGGTAAAGAAAAAAAAAATCGCTCCCCGGCCTGAGGTGGGCCGACTGGACGGCGACGGCGGCTTCCCGGCCTGAGGGAGCGAAGGAAGCCGCCGTTTTCCCGCCCTGCCGGAGGTATAACGACGCCTCGGGCGAGTAGGACTTCGCTCGGGCCGCCTGACAGGAAAGCCTGGGCCGCGCGGCGGAGGAGGCGCCCCCGGGTGACGCTTGGGCCGGGATGGCGCGGGAGAAACGCGGATAAGTCGCCGAGCTGCGCCGGTGGCTTCTCCGGGTCTGGCCGCGTGAGGGGGGGGGGGGAACGTTGACCCGGCGAATACCGACCTGAGGAGGGGTTTTTTCCTTCGGTCCCCGCCGAGCTAACGGGGCTTCCTTCCTCAGGAGCAGCGGCGGTGGAGGGTCCCCTTCAGAGGCGCCATGACCTACCAATGGGGCGTCGTGGCCGCCTTTCTCTACGGCGAAATCGCCTTGTTGCTCCTGCTCTGCCTGCCGCTCGTCTCGCCCGTGAGGTAAATCGGGGCCGGCCGGGCCTTCTCTTCTGCGGGAAGTTTTTCTTCAGGGAAAATAAAAGCCTCGCGTCGTTTTTATTCCGGGAGGGGGAGGAAATAAAGTCCTCACATAGTTTTTATTCGAGGGAGGGGAATAAACCCCTCATACAATTTTTATTCTGGGTGGGGGAAAGAAATAAACCCCTCATGCGGTTTTTCTTAGGGGCGAATAAAAGTCCTCGTGCAGTTTTTCCATTCAGGGAAAATAAACCCCTCATATAGTTTTTATTCGGGGGGGGGGAAGAAATAAACCCCTCATGCGGTTTTTCTTAGGGGCGAATAAAAGTCCTCGTGCAGTTTTTCCATTCAGGGAAAATAAACCCCTCATATAGTTTTTATTCGGGGGGGGGGAAGAAATAAACCCCTCATGCGGTTTTTCTTAGGGGCGAATAAAAGTCCTCGTGCAGTTTTTCCATTCAGGGAAAATAAACCCCTCATATAGTTTTTTTTCTTAGGGGGAAATAAAGCTGTCGTGTTTTTATTCGGGGGGGTGGGGGGGGTGGGAATAAAGCCCTGATGCCGTTTTTCTTAGGAGGGAATAAAGCCTTCATGCAGCTTTTATTCTGAGGAAAAATCATGCAGTTTTTCTGAGGGAGAAAATAAAACCCCTCATGCCGTTTTCCTTAGGGGGGAATAAAGCCTTCATGCAGC